TTTAATTATATTTATATTCCTAAAAAGGATAATGTTCTTTGATTTATATATATATATATATATATATATATATATATATATATATATATATATATATCGATTTATGATCAAGTGAGAAAGACATCTTAGGAGAGAAATGAGAATGAATTACATCCCTTAGATTTGATTTTTTTAATCTTCCGTTTCTTTTTTAGTTGAGGACAAATTAGAGATTTGCTTAATCTATTAATGAGAAACGATTCTTTCCATAACTTCTCCCAAAGTTTTTGCTACTTTAATTTATTATCTCATGCATGGATTTCACACCGTGATTCATCTTCTTTCATACGAAGTATTAACTATAGGAAGCCACAAACGTTAGTGGTGCACAATAAAATCCAAACGATTCTTTCACAAATGTAACAAAACTTAGAAAATTAATTAAAAAATATTTACTTTTGAAATAGATCATTAAAAGTGCATTCTAAAAAATCAAAGTTTAAATATAAATAAAATATTCATCTAATAATACTCGTTAGTGTTGTTGTTTAACCAAATTGTAGTATTTCTTGCAAACCAACAACATTTTGTGCACTACAAAAACCACGTGTGCACAATTCCTAATTTCAAATGCACTTCAAAAATTATATTAGCATCACAATAAATATGACAATACGCAATAATAAATATAAGAGCATCTTCAATGCTATAATGTGCACGGTACACATGTGGCATGAGTGGTAGCCACATAAATATTAGCAAATAAATCATCTCTCTCCTTATTTGAATGATTTTATACAATTTTGGTAAGTTTTTCCCTGCAATGTCAACAACAATGTCAACATCTAGACGGTCTCCTTGAAATTGTAGAGAAAAACTTACCAAAACTGTATAAAATCATTCAAATTAGGAGAGAAAGAATTTATTTACTAATATTTATGTGACTATTTCTCATGCCACGTGTGCACCGTGCACATTTTACCATTGGAGATGCTCTAATAGTACACTATTCTTTGGACAGGTTCTCATTACATCCATTTTTATTTGCATTTTAGAAAATTACATATACTGGGTAAATTTTTAATGACGTTTTTTATTGCATCGTGTTGAAAAGAATAATGCACTCTCTTTTTATTTGTATTATGTCAACTTCTTGTGTATAATAGGGAAATACATATATGTGCACTCTCTAAGTGAAAATAATGCACTTTATTTTAGAAAATGTGATATAATAGTGCACTTTTATTTATATTTATAATGAACTTCGTAAAAGTGCATTCATTTTGCAAAAGAGTGTTAATGTAGGACTTTAGAAACTCTAGTGTAATAATGCACTTATATATATATTTAAAATACACATGATAGTTTATAGTTTATATTTGTATATTTCTATTCATTTTGTTTAAGACATGGATATATATGCACTACTTCAATGTTAAAGTGCAGATTAATGTTATAAGAGGTGCAAACTAAATCCGGAGCAATAAATCATAAATGAAATGCAAAGCTATTTAGATAATTTTGCATCAACTAAATAACTAAAGTGCGTAAACTATTTACAAAAGTGCATAGCATTTTCAATAAAAGTGCACTGATTCAAATATTTAATACGAAAAATTTGACATACTAAAATTGAAGAATTAAATTTTGTAATCTTGCTAGCCAAATTAAAACACAACACGTCCATACTCTAGAAAATAAGATATGAGGACGTCTCAAGTGGAAATTAGATTTCCTAATTCTCATGAAACATCCAAAAATATAAACATGCGTGTAACTGTTTTGCTTAGTGCTTTGACATAAGTGCCCTGCCAGCAATTAATGTTCCGAATTCCTTTCTAAACTCATTAATTGTTACCAAAAATCATGGATCATGACATCTTGATCGTGGCCATTAGATTAATCAAATAATTGGTTAGATTTTATTCTCATTTCTCTCCTAAGAGCTCATTCTCACTGGAACCCTCCCATATATATATATATATATATATATATAAGAGATAATTGGGTCATATTTTTTTAACCTAGTAGTTTTGAAATAAATTTATCAAATGAAATTCAGTTTTTAAACGCAATTTTTCAAGAATCGAAACCTACAGTGGATATGTAGAGGATACAACTCATGTGTGCTTGACTAGACCTCTGGTGTGCACCGATACAAGGTCTATCACCATTGGGCTGACTGAGTCACTGTTGTGACTTACAACATCCCATTCTTCTACGTTTTTGCTCTTCTCTTCAGCCCTCACAAGTTCTTTCATCTGTGTAGGAGTTATTTCTTTTACTCCTACGTCTTCCTTCCATAAGAAAAAACCGCAGCTCCCTACCTGAATTATATCATATTTGCAACCAATGAACAAGGAAAAACACTGTAAATCAAAACCTCACACCCAAATCATAGACTTACCTTCCACTTTTGACACCTATAGAAAGTTCTCCCACTCTCTCCAACGCATAGAGGAGCTTTCAATCCACACCAACAATAAACAACAAGCTTGTAGTCCATAGTGCAGCTTCGTTCTTTGACAACTGTTTATGACGATGAAGACGACATACTTGCGAACAAGATACAAACTCGGAGGGGAAAGCGACGGAGGCTAGGTCTGAGGCTTTTGTGATTTTGTTCAATCGAAGGTTAGTAAGTTAGTTTTAAAAGGGGGTTAACCACATCAACTTAAGTGCCAGGTTGGGGAGGGACACATGTGACTCCAGCTCAGCATGTAACGGGCTAATCGGCATTCCATCGGCTAAAAAGCCCGATTGGGTAGTTTTGGTTAGTTCAGGGACTCCATTGGGTATTAATAAGTGAGAGAGCTTAATTGAGAAATTGGCGAGAGGACCTATTTGAGAGTTTTCTGAATGCTAAAGGTTGGTTTGCAATAGATTCTGAAAACCACTTTTGGACTTTTTTGGAAGCAAAAGCCAAAATAGGTGTTTGCAAAACACCATTTCACCGTTGGTTCACTGGAAAAGCTGGAAGTTTTTTTTCTAAATGTTGGCATTTTGGTAATTCTTGGTAACTAAGGGGCATTTATATCGTTAATGTGTGTTGATGTATCCCAATATTGCCCTTCTCTCTTTCCTTATACAACAGTACAACACTCGTATATGTATCAGACACATCTTCCCTATCCACGCTAGAAACGAATGAAGCTCTCCCCAACCCTACAGAACTTTCTCCTCGTATCTGCGCTGCCAAGCAAGTGGTACTCCATCAATTCAAAGAAGACCCAAATTGCAGTAGCAAAGCCAAGCACTCCAGCAATTCAAAGAAGACTCAAATTGCAGTAGCAAAGCCAAGCACTCCAGCAATTCAAAGGACCCAAATTTCAGTAGCAAAACCAAGCACTCCAGCAATTCAAAGAAGACCCAAATTGCAGTAGCAAAATCAGAGGAGAATTGGTCAAAACAATTCTGAAGCTCTGTTTTTTTTGTGGCCGGGGGGGGGGGGGGGGGGGGGGCATATTCTCCGGAATCGTTAGTGTGTTTCTGATACGGGAAACTTCAACCCTTCGGCGTTTCCGTGCGTTTATAGGACAAAGCTCAATCAAAGAACAAGACCTAATTGTATGAGTGTAAATTGAAGTCAGAGCTCTGCTCTTCAATTAAAGAACAAGACCTAACTACATTTCCGCAGCTCTGCGTGGAAGGAATGGGGTGGCAAATTATACCGTGGGATCGGTACACCATGCTCAAGGTGCACCGATCCCAAAACTACATCGTTTTTGATAAAAAAAATTACGGAACATCTCCTTCCTCTGTAAGTCTATAATTGCTCCGTCGTTTTATTTTTCTCCTCACCGTTTCCATACATCCGTCTCTATTCTCGATTCTCTATACCACGCACTGACGCACACACTAGATCCCCAAATTTCGTGTTGTGAATCTGGCTAGCAACGTAATTGATTTATTTTATGTTTCCAACATCCCCAATTTTTCTTTTTGAATGAACATTCGGATGGTTCAATACACTCGAAACAAAATTTATCCAACGAAAATAACAAAATCATTTATTGGTCAAATAAAGACATCCATATAGAAAAATGTTTTTTCTCAAAACCATTTTATGGCCTTAATATTAAAAACAAAACATATTATATGTTTTGAACAATTACACTTCTATGTTTTCATTGTTTACATTTGATATTTCATGAAGTTACATCTTTTTATATATGAGTTACATTTGTTTATATGTGAATTAAATCTTAATGTACACGAGTTACACAATGAAATAAACCTTGCTAATGATGAAAAATGAATTTTTAACTATATCATTTTTAATGAGCTAAAAAAATATCATTTTTAATAACCCTAATATTAAAAAAAACATATTCACTATTTACAAAAAGTAATTAGGCAATTATGATTAATTTTGTATGTATATATAAGATGTTTACATTTCAATTTTTTTAGAGTTACATTTTAATGAACGTGAGTTGTATCTTAATGTACGCGAGTTACACCGCTAAATAAACGGTGCTAATGATAAAAAAAAATATTTTTAACTAAATCAATTTTATAGCCCTAATATTAAATATTCAAAACATATTTACTATTTATAAAAAGTAATTGTGCAATTAGGATCAACTTTTCATTGTTTACATTGAAATCAATGTTTTTCCCCTTACATTCCGTTTTAGATAACTTACATATCAACTTGAATCAAGTTACATTTCCTATCAACGTGAGTTACATTTTTGTAAACTGGAGTTACATCACCCTGCTACTGAAACACAAAATAAAAGTTACTGTTCATCCGCAGGTACTGTTCATCCGTGTTTTACCCCTGAGAGCATGATGCTCATTGTGTGCTGATACCACGGTATACGAACTGGAATGGGGATGAAACAAAATATGCGGAAGTGATAAAGCCATAAAGGTTTTATGAAAGAGGGGCATTTTTGTATATTAATAAAAAACTACATCAATAATCATTTTTTACGGAATAATCCAATTTCAACGCCCAATATTTTTACGGAACACTCCAATATGCGGAAGAGGGCTTTTTTTTTTTTTTTGTAAAATCACTTATTTTCCAAACAACTGCACCAGGCCGGTAGCCCGGTAGTATAGGCTTCCCGCGGTCGTTGCCTCAAAAAACTGACCACGATTCCACAATGAGAGGACACGTTGGACTGATGGTCGCCTTGCTCCTCCTGGTAGCGGCCGTTAACGGAGGCGACGACTTCACCGGAGACTCCCCCAAGCTATCCGGGATCATCATCCCCGGCTTTGCGTCAACTCAACTTAGAGCTTGGTCAATATTGGACTGCCCTTACTCGCCTCTCGATTTCAACCCTCTCGATTTAGTCTGGCTCGACTCCACCAAAGTAATGCGCATTTCGTGATTGTTTTCATCGCTGTAGTTCGGTTTATCTGTCCAATTTAGTCACTGACGTATATTTAATGTCTGTTTCGTTTGTTTATTCTTTTTTAGTACATCGCGCATAAATACTTGCCAAGCGTAAGTAATTTCATTGCTGCAGCACTGCATTTCGTTTTCTGCGTATTTTGTTGAATTTCGCTCTGTTAAACTTTGAATTTGAGCCATTCCCACTCAGCTCGAATATCAAGGTTTATAAGATGAGAGTATGAGTGTATGGCGAAGATTGCTATATGTTTTATTCGAGGAAAATAGTCCCCACTCGCCACTCCCTCGGCATTTTATGCTTAGGAATTTCCTAACGTTTTGCCTGCTAGATTCGCAAGTTCATTTTCTCATGAATTATGAGTGTCTATATGTGGTGTAGTGGTTTTCGTCTCATTTGCTTTTTAAGTTAGAATTCTAACAGTTGATTATTTCTATGTGCAGCTTCTGTCTGCTGTGAATTGCTGGCTAAAATGCATGATTTTAGATCCTTACAATCAAACGGATCATCCAGAGTGCAAGTCTCGTCCTGACAGTGGCCTTTCTGCTATATCTGAACTTGATCCTGGTTATATAACTGGTAGATTTGCCAGATTTTGTCTTGTTCTCTGTACACATCCAGTGTAAAAGCATGTTATCTGTTAAATCTAAAACTTGAAACTACCTGGTTACTTGTTTTGGCATAACACTAGACACTCACAGTCACACACATACACATGCACAAATTCAACTGTGGTTTATCGTTTACTTTCTTTTGTAATCTGTACAAGTATCAGTACAATGGACAAATTGAACCAACCAATCATGTCTAGAATTGAAGCAACAAATCAAATATATACTATTTAATCTTCTTTTGTTTCGCTCGTTATGCTTGCATAGTTTCATTTTTCTTCAGGTCCCCTTTCATCAGTGTGGAAAGAGTGGGTGAAGTGGTGCATTGAATTTGGTGTTGAAGCTAATGCAATTATTGCAGTTCCATATGACTGGAGATTGCAACCATCAAAACTCGAGGAGAGAGACCTTTACTTTCACAAACTGAAGTTTGTATCCTCTCTGATATATTTATTTTATCTTCCTTTATATTTCATGGACTAAGTCAAATATTTTCCCCTCCATATGGAAAAATATTTGACAAGGGAGCCTCAGTGCACCAGTCATGGTGTCGCTGTATGATCAAGAGGTTATGGATGTCTTGGGAGTGGCTTCTTGTCAAAAATGTACAAGGGGAGACTTGCCTCCTGTACACCCTTGTGGTGGGAGTGAGTGGGACCCTTCCCCTTGCCTTGCAGGGATGCCAATGTGCACCGGGCTGCCCTACGGAAAAGTGGAGATATCAATTTTTATTATTATTCTGAGATGGTAATCATGGTATTCAGTTTTGTATCTTGCAAAAGTAAAGACAGCTTTCTGCTTCAAATTCTAGGCATGGACGTAGGCTACTGTGTCTTCTTTGACTTTTCTATTCTTTTGGAGATGTTTTTTGCAATTAAAAGAGGCCATGTAGTATGCAGACACAGGGGAAAACTAATTTCCCGTATCTGTTCACATAATTGTCTTTCTCTACCCTTTATCTCATCTGTCTCGTAAAAAGTGAAGGACAGTTAGCATGTACTTCACTGGAAATCATTCTCACCAATTGTTTTTTTTTGTAATTGTATTTGATGTGTGTCAAATTTACTCGAAGTGTTCAATGCTCAAACTGTATATTCGATCTTAAGGCAGCATATATTTGTTATCTATTCAGGGGTAAACTTAATGAATGGTGTTTTTAATCGCAAAAAGATTTTGCTAATTGTGAGAAAGACTTACTTTTACCTGCTTTTACTTCCATATTGTCTGACCTGTTAGTAGCATTAAAAAGCCTTTTTAATGGCTAACTCTAGTCTATGACAGTCATCGAGCTTTTTTGCAGGCTGACTTTTGAAACTGCTCGTAAACATCGTGGTGGACCATCACTAGTTTTTGCACATTCTTTAGGGAACAATGTCTTCAGATACTTCTTGGAGTGGCTGAAACTAGAAATTGCCCCTAAAATGTATCAGCAGTGGCTAGATGAACATATCCATGCCTATTTTGCTGTTGGTATGCTTGGCTTTAAGTTGCCATGATCTCATTTAAAATAGACTGGAATTTGTAAGATAAAGTTGCAACTGAGCAGGAATTTGTGTCTGCTGGGTGTCAGGATCTCCTCTACTTGGTGCAACTGAATCTGTGAAAGCAGCACTGTCTGGAGTCACATTTGGTCTTCCTATATCTGAGGTTTTAAAACTTTCTCCTTATTCAAATACTTGCATTTACTCTAATTCAGTGCTCCCTGGATCTTTCTGAGTATGTGCAAGGACTGTGATAGGAACATATCCCTTCGAGTTCTCATTTTCATTCGTTTTGCGAAATTGAAAAGATCGGAGATCGTTAAAACATTAAACTTTCATAAAATATGACGGTCAAGGGCCTCTCCATTAATATTTCTTCCCTCGAAGGCTCTAATTTATTTGAGAAATGAATTCTTTAGGAATTTATAACTCTCAGTGTGTCCCTGTGTAATTAATGCCTTTTCTGACTGATTTATCACATCAGGGAACTGCTCGATTGATGTCCAATTCGTTTGGCTCTTCATTGTGGATGCTTCCATTTTCAAAATACTGTAAAACAGATACTGTATACTCGATGCATTTTTCTGGCAGAAGCAGAAAAGGTAATCACGCATTCCATTGTGATGAGCGTGAGTATCGAGCAAATTACTCTGGTTGGCCAACAAATATAATCAATATTGAAATACGTCCAAATAAAGGTATCACTTTTATTCCTTATAAAAAATAAGTTTATGTTTGATTCTTCTGACATGTCTTAATTCCTCGTAATATGTCCTGGCAGGAGATGAGGCTTATCCATCCTTTGTGCAAATTGCAGAAACAAAATTATCTGGCATGGAATGTGAATTTCCAACTCAATTGTCTTTTTCTGCCCGTGAAGTGTCAGATGGGACTTTTTTCCAATCAATAGCAAATTATGATCCTGATAGCCAAAGGCTCTTACACTTGTTAGAAAAGTGAGTCTTCCTGTGATTTTTACATGTTTTATATAATGTACTGGGACTAAATTTAGCCTGGTTATCGTCTGGAGCTCAGGAAGTTTAAAAGCCTCATTTCTTTTTGAGACGCTGAGAAAAAAGGTTCTATTCAAATTTTCTTTTTTGGGATGAGAGAACAGGCAATCAGGCTTGACTTGATTCTCTGACATAGAAGTGGTTGGTTGTAGACTACCTATACTTAGTTGCTATTATAGTGAATTTTTTATATCCCTATATCAGTTGTTCTCACCAAAACATTTTGTACGTTTCTTTTTGTGCCTGTAATAAGGGTATACTGTATAGTAAGCCATCTCTAAATTAACAGCCTTCTGAAACTTGATTGAGGATTCTTTAACTAGAGTTGCAGAAATTGTGTTCAATTTTATCAGATTTTGTGCTTTACTAACGGGATAAATTTCTTAGCTTTCTTCATTCTACATGGATTTGCAGTTCATATCATGGTGACCCAGTCCTAAACCCTTTAACTCCATGGGAAAGACCACCTCTTAAGAACATATTCTGCATTTACGGAATTGATTTGAAAACTGAGGTATTTAATCTTTGCTGATTTACAGTAAGCTGCTGCCTATCTGTTTAATATTTGTTTAAATTCGTGCTGAAGGTTTGAAGTTGTATGCTTCAATTTATTTGTAAGTTGTAGCTGAGTGATCGATATAATCTTCTTTGGATGTCGAAGTATTTCAAGATTTTCTTCAAATTATTATGTTTTCCGAAGCGAATGTGAGCTTCGTTTCTCCAAATAATCACAGATGGGCTTAATGGGAATGGGTTGTAGAGTTCCCGATCTGACATTTTCATTGCCCTATTTTGGTGAATCGTGTATTTGTCTTCTTTCATGATGACAAAGGTTGGTTATTACCTTGCTCCAAGTGGGAAGCCTTACCCTGATAATTGGATCATAACAGATGTGATATATGAGACTGAGGGTTCTCTACATTCTAGGTAATCATCATTTATTAACTGGAGATTTACTGAATATTGTGAATATTCTATAGAGGCTTTATGTTGTTAAGATTGTATTGAGCACCTTTGTCTAACTCTTTTTGGTTGGAGTTGAAATCTTGGTGCAATTACTCTATTCAAATGATATTGTATGCTGAACTGCCTGGTTAATGCATAAATTTGGAGCATCAACAATGCAATACTTTCTAGTCTAAATTAAATGTGCCAAATGTCAAAAAAGGAAAAGACTTTCAAATACACATAATACAAAGTGGAGTGATTAGACATTAGACTATAGAAAAAGCTTCCAATGCATAAGTTCTATGGTCCAAATGCAGTGTCCACTTGGAATTTACTCTATTATACGGAGTATTAATTATATATGAGTAAATTATTTTTTCCTTTTTGAATTATCAACTGCTCGGCGCTGCAATGTAAAAAAGCTCATGAAAAATTACACATTCCATCTTATTTGTACTACAGATCGATGGCTGAATTTTCATTTGTTTACTCCGGCGAGCACAACAAAAAATTGAAATCTTATTATATACGGAGTAAATATATACTCCGTATAAAATTATTTATATAGAAAAAAGTAAGAAGGTCATCGTCATCCTTGAACCTTCTTACTGGAGCAGATTATTAGAGCATCTCCAATGTCTTGTTGTCTAGTCTAGGAAAAATATGACAACTCATCAAATTAGACATTGTGTGCGTATTACACTATTACTATTACATCCTCCAACGCAGGTAGTCTCCAATTCATTTTTGCTTAGTTTGCCAAAAAACTGCTGCACACCGTGAAGATAAAAGTGTGAGATGAGAAAGTCCTCTAAACTTGCTGACTCAGCAAAATTAACAAAAAAGACGTGATTTACAACCATATATTTTCAGTTACTTTCACCCAAGCATCCAAATTGTACGCTCTCGGCTCGAACCGTAAATTTTATTCACATTGCTTTGGTTTGTGGTTCCCATTTTGTTGAAGATTGCTAGTTTTGTAATAATCTTCTCCAGGAAGAAGGTTCAGGGATGACGATGACCTTCTTACTTTTTCGATATAAATAATTATATGTGTTTGTATATATATATATATATATGTATATATGTATATATGTATATATGTATAGAGTACTCTTCCGGTCAGGAATTCCTGACCGGAACCGCCGTCCGGACGGCGGCGTTTGGCCACCTTCCGGGTGGAATTTTTCAATGAAATTTTTATGACATGTTCTACATCAAGTCTAGTTTATCCACAAAAAAATTCAGCCAAAAACTCATTCGGGAAGGTCATCAAATGATTTTTGCAAGTTAACTGGTCCGGAAAATACATATTCCGGACCAGTTAACTTGCAAAAATCATTTGACGACCTTCCCGATTGAGTTTTTGGCTGAATTTTTTTGTGGATAAACTAGACTTGATGGAGAACATTCCATAAAAATTTCATCAAAAAATTCCACCGGGAAGGCGGCCAAACGCCGCCGTCCGGACGGCGGTTCCTGTCCGGAATTCCGGACATGAACTTTTGTCTATATGTATATATGTATACTCCGTATATAATAAGATTTCATTTTTTTGTTGTGCTCGCCGGAGTAAACAAATGAAAATTCAGCCATCGATCTGTAGTAAAAATAAGATGGAATGTGTAATTTTTCATGAGCTTTTTTACATTGCAGCGCCGACCAGTTGATAATTCAAAAAAGAAAAAATAATGTACTCATATCTAATTAATATAATACAGAGTAAATTCCAAGTGGACACTGCATTTGGACCGTAGAACTTATGCATTGGAAGCTTTTTCTATAGTCTAATGTCTAATCACTCCACTTTGTATTATGTGTATTTAAAAGTCTTTTACTTTTTTGACATTTGGCACATTTAATTTAGACTAGAAAGTATTGCATTGTTGATGCTCTCACAAAACTAGCAATCTTCAACAAATTCTTAACCACAAACCCAAAGCCATGTGAATAAAATTTACGGTTCTAGCCTAGAGCGTACAATTTGGATGCTTGGGTGAAACTAACTGAAAATATATGGTTTTATATCACGTCTTTTTTGTTAATTTTGCTGAGTCAGCAAGTTTAGAGGACTTTCTCATCTCACACTTTCATCTTCACGGTGTGCAGCATTTTTTTGGTCAACTCAGCAAAAATGAATTGGAGACTACCTGCGTTGGAGGATGTAATACGCACACAATGTCTAGTTTGATGAGTTGTCATATTTTTCCTAGACTAGACAACCACACATTGGAGATGCTCTTACACGTAGACAAATATCATGCATATCTCCTTCGCTGCTAAATTAGGCTTTGAAGTCTTCATCCTTTTTGTCCAAATAAATTGGGATGCAGAATAAAAAAACAAAGTGAAGTAAAGGATTACGTTTTTTTAGTTGTCACATGTTAAAGAATGCAATACAATATTTATATTTATCCTTTACAACAGTGAATTTTTTGAAAAAATTATTGACATTGCTTATGTCATATCATTTATTCGAATTGTGAAGGTCAGGTAATCTGGTTGAAGGTAACCCTGGTGCAGCTAGTGGAGATGAGACGGTAAGATTAAAAACATCATATTCTTGTTTTTCTAGCTTTTTTCTGTTATTCCAGTTATACTGTGTGCAGTGTCTACCTGTCATTACTTTCATTAAGTGGAACATTGTAGGTGCCATACCATTCCCTCTCTTGGTGCAAGAATTGGCTTGGCCCTAAAGTGAACATTACAAGGGCTCCTCAGGTAATTCTTGCATGATTTTTCAATATCAAGAGTCGTAATAGCCTGTTGGTTCAACCTAATTTTCTAAAAATCACTCGTGCTAGTCAGGCAATACCGGCAAGGCGGCAAGCCAGGTGTGGTTTAAAATAGATATTTTATAAACAAGTTTGTATATATACAATTAATATACTACCTCCGTTCTCTTTTAGTTGCAACATTGGACTTTTTGCACTATTCACATGTTCTACTTTGACTACATTTTATTAATTGATGTATAATAAATTAAATATTTAAAAAATATTGTTACATTCTTCTCATTCTAAATTTTCAAAATATGAATTTTTTTAATTTTTTTACTAATAAGAAATAAAAGATATTAATGGTCAAACTTGTGCATTGGCAAACGTGAAATGTTGACTGTTGCAATTCAAAAAGAACGGAGGAAGTATATAATATTGTACAAACACATCCAAATATATGAATGATAAAAACATAAGAATATATGAATAATATTGTCATGGCGCACCGTGCATGGCGATCGTCATGGCTCAAAGGCATTTTTCATGGTGATGGTGCATATACGAATGGCTCATATGGCGCTATGGCGATGACCACCTTTTCATGGCGATGGCGCATATGGCGCCCGCCATATCTCGCCATTGACTACTATGCATAAGATGCAAATATTATTTATGATCATTGATCACTTAATTACCACAACCACACAATTGATATTAGATAGACATATAATGTAAGTGTTTGTAATTGAGATGTAGCTTGTCAGTACTACTTACTTGATATGCATATTAAAGTTGCATGTTTGAATCTATAATAGTAAAATCAACATTTTTGTGAACCCAATGCATATGAAAAAGTTAACTAGTGAATCATGTGTATCACAAATGTGAATTTGAAACTAAAATGCACCGCATAGTGACTTTATATCAGGGATTGTTCTGCAGCCTGTCTTGATTTTTTATTAATTAATGATTTTAGCCCAGCATATTTTTGCAGCTCAACTCTTTTCTTTTCTATTGTCTCCATGTCTCTCTAATAATTTAGTCAGAGCATGATGGTTCGGATGTACAAATCCATTTGAGCGTAGACCACCAACACGGTGAAGATATCATTCCCAACATGACTAGGTCACCTAGGGTGAAGTACATAACCTATTACGAAGATTCTGAAAGTCTTCCTGGGAGGAGGACAGCAGTCTGGGAGATTGATAAAGGTAGTAGTGATTTAGTTACTTTGCAATGATTTTAAAAATAGGCCAGCTCTTTTTAGCTGGTCCCTGTTATAAGTTTACAGTCAATTAGACTAAATTATACGGAATAGTAGTTAATTTAATGGATTATTTATAAAGACTGTGATATTCTTTTACCATTATGCCTCGCAAATGAATAATATATATGGCACCATATTTATATGGCCAAACAATGAATGCATCATAGAAAATTTATGTCTATACTGTATAATAAAGAGTTGAGGGCGCATTCATTTAACAAGATACAAATGGCATTTCATATGGCTAAACCTCTGATGCACAGCACAGGTCAATGTAGTTCCTCTGGTTACATTACTCTCTAACTCCTTATGTGCAGCGAATCACAGAAATATTGTCAGATCCCCGGTTTTGATGCGAGAGTTATGGCTTGAGATGTGGCATGATATTCACCCTGATAAGAAAACAGAGTTTGTCACAAAAGGTTGGTCTCTTGTCTTGTCAACCTCCTAGGGTCTGTTTGTGAGTTGGGTTCTGGAGGGAAAAGATATGGAAGGCTTTCTAAAAATAAATAAAAGGCCATTGGAATGTTATATGCCCACGTATGTTATTAAAGTTTCAGTTTTTATAGACTAAGCCCCTGTTTGGTTTAGTGGAGGGGAGGGAAGGGGAGGGGAGGGTCAAGAAGGCTAGGGAAGGGAAGGGGAAGGAAGGATTTTGACAAGTTATTGTGTTTGGTTGTGGTAAAAAGGAGAGAAATTTAATAATTAAATTTCCAAATTACCCATATTTATTTGTAAAGTGAAATGTAATGAATCTAAATATTACTAAGTTCATAAATTATAATATATGAAAAATAAGTGAAATTCTTGGCAATCCTATGGCTAATTATTTATTTTTAATTGAAATTATTTATGAAAAACTTCTTGATATAAATATTAAACCATTATAGAAAACCTAATATTACTTGGATTTAAACATAGAGATTAAAACAAATCGACATAAACCAAATGTTGAATTATTTCAATCAATCAATTATATATGTAGAAGAAGCAATGATATATAAATTATGAAATAATTTCAATTCAATTATATAATTATTAATCAGTGGTTATATAAATAACCAATCACTTTAAAAAAATATATTTCTATAATATTGTATTTAAACACTAAATAGCCTTTACATAAACATAAAAATAACTAAAATTTTTTAAAGATAAGAGTAAAAAACTAAAAAACTGCCTGCAAAATCAAAGACTATTTAAAAGCGTGATATACTAAAAAATTAATCCATTAAAAAAGCAAGTCTTTTCAAAGCTTATTTTTTTCAAAAATAACTAATATTTCAAAATCAAAATAAAAAACAGAGCGACTTAGTTTGACCCATTTTTGAGAGAGGGTTGTGACTACTCCTCAATGAAGTTAATGAAGGTCGAAGAAATTTGGGCGTCTTTTTAAGTTACATATACTGATATACAGGGCCATTTTTATCCATTCATGTTTAAAAATCAGGGCGTGTCTTTGATATCTCCTGAAATACCCCGATTTGGGGGATTCAAAATGGGGGATAATGTATTTTTTTAAGTCTTCCAAATTCCTTCCCCTCCCCCCTATTTCTTCCAACCAAACAAACATTAATCCTCAACTATCCTTCCCTCCCTCCCAAAATCCTCCAACCAATCGAGCCCTAAGTTTCAGAAGCTGTTTCTTCGCAATTCTACAATCACATATGGTTCATATATATACATATATGGCCATGCATAAGTGATTAGCACATAAGTTAAATCATTAGTTTCTTAGAGTTAGAATGATGAATAATCATCCACTCACTAACTTTACCTTTAAGGGTACTGCAAATACTACTATTTTAATTTTGATGCTCCAAAACAGAAAAGCGAGGCCCCCTGAGAGATGATGACTGCTACTGGGATTATGGAAAGGCTCGATGTGCATGGGGAGAGCATTGTGAATACAGGTAATACATTAATAATACAAATTATAATACTTCATAGTTGTTCCTCAGAAGATATGCACCAAGTCTTATATATATACGGAGTATATATTTACAAACAATGACAATGGTGTTGTTGCATGCCATCACATTCACCGTCTAATTTCAATTATTATTATATAATTCAGATATAATTTTGGGGATGTTCACCTGGGACAAAGTTGTAGATTGAGGAACACTTCAGCAGATCTCTTGCTGCGATATGTATAAAAAATAATGATACCAACACACATTGCAAGCAACCTGTTTGCACTTCTATTGTATTCTCATGATAGATGATGCTCCCATCCCTTGTACATGAAAGAGAAATTTTGTAGATAAAAGCCTGCTACTCATGGCGGTTTTCTGGTGTGGGCTGACCAGTGTTAGAGGAATAAATGATTTTGCATCATCAAATTTGATCCGATTCTTTGAGGGCTTTCAAAATTTGACACCCAGGTTATCTTTGAGAGCTTTCATGACATGTAGCCTTGTTTGTAAGAAGTGATGAGCTTGACTGGATCTAAAATTAATCATCTTATTTGAAATGTTACTAATTGTAATTTTCCAATTCATCACTTTAATTTACTGCAAAATTATGTCAAGTTTACGCTCCCGTTTACTGCAAATGGGCCTACTTTTGATTTAACATTGGGTAATTCTATGTACACACATGTTTTTACTAAATACACACATTTTTATAATTCCCAGTTTGCCCTTTTTAACGTGAGTGTGTATCGGGTTGAAACTTGCAACAATCAATAGAGCAGCAATTTATTCTCCGTCTTGGTACTCATCTCAACAATTTCATACAGGTTCATCATATCAAACCGCTGCTAATTCATGTCCACCTCTTCTTCAGACCAGGCCCGGTCCTGACATTTTATGGGCCCGGGACAATACAAATAGGCTGGGCCTCAAGGATAGCGTGAGAATGTTTATAATGTCCTATGAAAATCTATTAGTATAATTTAAAATTATACAATATTACCGTCAAAGTACTAGTATAACACATCAAAAAATGAACAAAGCACATGGTTAGAATATATATATATATATATATATATATATATATATATATATATATATATATATATATATATATATATATATATATATATATATATATATATATATATATATATATATATATATATATAGGGGTTAGTTCCTGTGAGAACACTCTCTTAGGAGAGTAAAAAAGAACAAAATCTAGCCTTCCATTAACTTGATCTAATGGCTCAACATTTTTTGAAATAGAGACCAATTTCGGATCATTAGACTTACATATAGGAAATCGTTCAATTGAAAATTAAAAAAGGGGCAACATGGTAAAAATCATCCAAGTAATTATTAAGCACGCAGCACTATAATAGGAGCACATCCTAGAAATTAGGCTACTAATTAATAAGGAGTAACGTACTCCCTCTTATCTAAGATATGCTTTCTATTGTTTAATTTTCTTTCCATATTAAAATTTGTATTATCTCATATATTTTTTTAATAAAAATTTTGATAAAAATCTCTATCCAAATTGTGCACTTTCTTCGTTTAATCGTCTTTTCAGAGGTAATATTTCACTCGTTTAGTTTTGTATATTTGCACTTAAACGTTTAATAGTTGCACTTTTATTTGAAACATTTTGCGTCATCAATTTATTTAAATATTCAGAAGCTTGAATTTTGCAACTTAAAGGAAAATCACATGTTTATTACGTTAATTTACACAATTGTAAACCACACTTTAATGTCATTAATTTGCACTTTCTATAACATTAACTTTTTAAACATTTAATTCTACACATTTGATCATACAAGTCCGGGATAAAATTCATTAAAATTAATAATATAAATATACAAGGTTGTAAACAATAACTATAACGTGCATTTAGAATAATACCAATGTGCACTATTATATTACACTTTCTAAACCTCTTCATTGGCACTCTTTTACAAAATAAAATGCACTTCTATCATGTGCATTTAGGTATCTAGAAATGTGCACTTTTCTAATATTTTACATTGACATTTTTACTAAATGAAATGCGTTTTCTTCCGAAATCACCAAAATTTTCATTATGGTAGGATCTCTTGGTGTCACTTTTATCTGCAAAACAAAGTACAATAAAAACTAATGAATAGTGCATGAATAAAATTTGACAAGTGCATTAAAAGTTAGATACAAATTTATCATTATTATCTTATTAGCAGTTAATAAATAACTATTACGAAATTGTTCGACATTAAACATGTTAAATGCATCATATGACAATGTAAATACACTAAACTACTAGTGAAATCTATCAATCTATAAAATACGTTAATACAAACACATATATCTAAAGATATGCAGCAATAATATGAAAAAGTGCTTTTATAAAAAAATATGAAAAAGTGCAAAAGAAATACATATAGTTGCATCAAATTTATCAATCAATAGTTAAATCAAGTGCTTTTATAAATCAAGTGCTTTTATAGAAATACATATAGTTAGTTGCATCAAATTTATCAATCAACAGTTAAATCTTTATGAAACTGCCAAATACATAACCGACATAGCATAAATGGTTTATTTCACGATAAATGGTAATCCGTATTTTTTATCATAAGAAATTACACGAGATTGTCATATGAAAAATTGACAAATGACACCTGAAACGAAACTATTAATTAAAATGGATTGAAGAATAAACCTGAAATTATTAATTAAAATGGATTGAGGAATAACTCAATCATGTAGATGACATATAGTTGTTTGATTAAATAATTATGAAAAATTAAAGTGAGAACTATGAAAACCAAACACGCATACCAGGATCAATGTGGAGAAAATTAGATTTTTAAAAAACTGGGTTGCTCGATAATGATTGTAGTGAATGGAGATGGAGAATGAAATTGATGGTGGAATGGTGATAGATTAACCGAAGTTGAAGAATGAAACAAGGTATGGCAAGCAAAAAACATAATGGAAGAAATATTATCTCTTCCTAAATTAAAGGGTGTCGGTTATGGAAAGGGCTAAGAATTACTGTATTAGCCTTATACGAATTATTTAATTAATTAGAATAATGGTTCAATCCAAGGGTCATAATCTATTCTTTTTTACTCTCCTAAGATTAAGTTCTCACATGAACCTAAATCTATATATATATATATATATATATATATATATATATATGTATATATATATATATATATATCGAGGGTATTGATTAGTCATGGACCCGGGCCGGGCCGGTTCCGGGCCGGGCCCGGCCGGGCTTTTTTTTGGGAAGGAAGGCCCGGGACCGGCCCGGGTAGCCACCGGGTCCGGTCCGGGCCTCCGGTTCGGTTATAATTTTTTTTTTTTTTTTTGTTTGCTTTCCTAACCCCCCCACTCACCCCCACACCCCCCCCAAACCCCCAAACCCCTCCTAACCATCAAGCCCAACTTGGCTAACCCCAAAAAAAGAAAAAAAAATTAAAAAAAAATCAATTCGGCCCGGGCCCGGGCCCGACCCGGCCGGGCCGGTTCGCCAAATTCAAGGCCCGAGCCCGGACCCGGCCACCCCACCGGGCCTAGGCCCGACCCGGACCCGGACCCGAGAACCGGGCCGGTTCCGGGCTTGCACAGTGGCGGGCCGGGCCGGTCCCGGGCCGAGCGGCCCGAACCGGGTCCATGCCTAGTATTGATAAGTGACATTTGATGATACAATGTACCTAACAGCCGAGTGAAACAAGTATTGCAACTATATATTAGGCACAATAAAATTTTTGAATTAAAGAAAGTTGTGAAAGTTATATCTTGTATAAGGAGTAACTTTATCATATTTTAAATCACATATTCACTAGACAAAAATAAATTCTAAGTTTCTAAATTATGGACACTAAAGTTCAATCTTTCACTAAAGAGAGAATTGAAGGAAATTTGTGAAATACACCAATGAATTCTGGATATACATAAGACATGTACACTAAGTCATTAAAAGATTGAATTTAATGTAATAATCCGTAATGATTCAAAAGAAATGGTAAAATATGTTCCCAACGAATTCTAATGTGGATGTTTCTAAATTATAGACTTGTATCGTGTAGATGGTAAATAACAATTTAGAAGTATCTAAAAATACAATTTTGATTTTATTTTTTATCTTTTATAGATTTAGGATGTATATATAATTAAAATATTTATGTACACATATATGTTTGAGAAATTTATGGGCCCTACTGGAGCAAAGGGCCCTGGGCGCATGCCCCTCCTGCCCATGCCCCAAGATCGGCCCTGCTTCAGACCGAACATTTTTCAAAAGCTCCAAAATATTCTTCACCCAACACCAAATGATAGATTCTTCTACGCCTCTTCATCTTATTGTTTGAATTGAAGATTCAAACTGAATTTTAGCAGATTAATGCAATCCTCAAGAGTAGTACTCCGATGGCTTGACACTTTGACAGTGATGATGTGCCTGCGATGCCCAAAACCAAACACCGTTCACTCATTCAGTCAAGTTCTCGGCGTTTCCATGTAGACACCGGTCGGACATGAACTCGCCGTCGCAAGAGTCCCTCAATTGCTGAACAGGGAGGTCATCGGCTGGTTGAGATTGGTTGCAATCTCTCATCCTCTCACTTGCCGCCGCTCCACTAGAGCCACCAGATCTCCCAATAGGTGCCATATCTTCCCCCTTTCCTAATGATCATCCATTCCTCTTGGCCTTTGTTCTCGTTGGAGAACCACGGGCAAGTGCCTCAATTTTCAAACCAGTCCGCTTCCGATCGAAACGAGTGGAGGCTCACAAGCATATCGAGAGAGGGGTTTATTTAGGAAGGGTAAAATAGATATTTAATTTAATTTTGTGGCTGTGTGTAGTAATTGTTGGTGTGTGAATAGAATTTCCCTTTAACATTTCAGTTTCAACAATTTTTATGTCACTCTTGATCGGGCCCTCAATTAAGGCATGCGAGAAGTGTGCTCCAGTACGGGGGCTCCCGATTTTGAAGGCCCAAAATTTTAAAAATAGTCTATAATATGGAGTGTACAAAATGCTCTTTTATTTGATTAAAATCTACTACTCCCTCCGTCCCTGAATGTTGTTCCAATTGCGGATTACGAAGGTTGACCGATGATAAAGTTAAATGATCCCTGTGAAAACTCGGATTATTTTTAGTAAATAAAATTTACATATTCAGAAACTACATTAAACCCGCTACAAAGCCTGCAAAAAAAAAATCAATTTTCATAAAGTTTTGATACAAAAAGTAAGAGTTTAAGAGTGATTTAAGTTGACTCTCGAAAAACGAAATGGAAGTAAATTTAGGGACAGAGGGAGTATATTAGTATATTGCTTTAAAATACAAACAGTAAAAGTAATACGTACTACTAAGTACGTAGTATTTATTTATAATTAAAATATATTTCCTATTTAAAGTTATACAATAGGTAGTATTTTATTGCACACGGCCTAATTATATTAATTAGCACAAGATCTCCAACAATTGGGATGACGTTGCTCTTAACAATAGTCGATGTCGATAATTCAAAAAATGGACTTGAGTTTCATTCTTTTAAGGGAGAACTATCAAATAAGCTCTCAAACTTGCATAAAACGTGCAAATCACCCCTTATATAGGTGGTTCTCCCCGGTCGTCGCCGTTTGGGGTGGTTCTTGGTGGAATTTTTTGATGCAATTTTTTGAGCATCTTCTTAATTAAGTCTAGCTTACTCATACCAAATTTCAG